ATGTCTACGTCAGAGAACACCCTAACTGGGTCAGTCCCGGCAGCTTCTAGAGAACCAGCAACAACAAACGGATCAACAGGAATCACACCAGTAACACCAGACACGGGCAGAAGCCTCATCGTTGACGAAAGATTTTTCGAGGAGCAGTTCCTGAGATGCCAGATTTGTCATGAGAAGTTTGATCAAATGCAACGATCACCCAAATCCCTGCCTTGCAACCATACATTCTGTATGCCGTGTTTGACACAGATATTTGACCACGCCCAGCCTTCCGCCCGACGATCTTTTACATGGGCCCATGAATCATTGGATGGCACCTTGAAATGCCCAACTTGTCGGGTGGAGATCTTTTTAAGCAGAAATAAGATCAGAGATCTTCCAAACGATCACCGTGTAGTCCAAATGATGGACTTTCTCTCTCAAGCTGTGGCGAAATCACAAAATGTTTGTTCTAAACACGACGGTCAGCCATTGAACTTCTTCTGTAAAAAGTGTCTGAGTCCGGTCTGCAGAGACTGTACAGTTCTTGACCATAAAGAATCAGATGGACACGCTATCGTTGACCTGTCTGACGCAATCAATGAAAACGCGACTCACTTCAATGAACTCGAAGTCAAGAGTAGAGATACGTTGGAGAAAATGAAAACCAGATCAGACAGTTTGGCAAACGCCTCCAAAAGGTTAGATATTCTTGAGCGTCAACTTAAAAGTGAAATCAAAGAAACTTTTATTGAATATCGATTACTTCTGGAGAAACGGCAAGAAGCTTTGACGTCGATGGTGAACCAGATTATCAAAGATCAAAAAGCGAAAGTCAACGCTAAGTTTGCTTATGTTTGTGAGCACGGTACACAACTACAGAAACTCTATGACGAGCTGAAGTCATCGAGGGACAGCAACGACATTCGAAAACTATTTATCATTAATCAACAAATGAAAGATCAAGAAAGCCGCTTCACAGACATCGCAGCTCAGGATGATACTGATCTGTTTCATTCTTGCGAGTTTGAGGCTCAAAACGAAGGCTGCTTTTTGTCAGACTTGAGCAGTCTTGGGGAAGTCAGACCAAAAGTTGACCCAGAACTAACGAAGCCAGTCACTGCTCAGCAGCTGGTCATCCTGGACAGAGAGGCAAGGAGGGAGCAGGAGCTGCTGATGGAGAACGAAGAGAGTAACAACGTTCACGGCGATGAGTTCCTTACCACCAGGGAGATGATGAACTTGTATCACAATGACGATGTGGAGGCAGGTGAAGATGACCAAGACACGGAGGGCTACTGGCCCAGCCACAGTCTGATGTCCGACCTCATGAACTACTACGCCACACTTGCGGCAACTGCACCTGAGTCTATGGACGAGAGCGATAGCATCGCATCGGGTGGCCGCAGATCCAGGCGTGGGCGACGACCACGAGACACAAATAGTTTCCAGGTATGTCATAGTAACTTCTCTTTCTTCTTCTTCTTCTTCTTCTTCTTCTTCTTCTTCTTCTTCTTCTTCTTCTTCTTCTTCTTCTTCTTCTTCTTCTTCTTCTTCTTCTTCTTCTTCATTTTTCTTCTTCATTATCATCATCATCAAAATAATCATTATCGTTTGCCATGCCTCTATTCTTCTTCTTCTTCTTCTTCTTCTTCTTCTTCTTCTTCTTCTTCTTCTTCTTCTTCTTCTTCTTCTTCTTCTTCTTTTTTTTCTTTTTCTTCTTCTTCTTCATTTTTCTTCTTCATTATCATCATCATCAAAATAATCATTATCGTTTGCCATGCCTCTCTTCTTCTTCTTCTTTTTCTTCTTCTTCTTCTTCTTCTTCTTCTTCTTCTTCTTCTTCTTCTTCTTCTTCTTCTTCTTCTTCTTCTTCTTCTTCTTCTTCTTTTCTTCTGTTTCTTCTTCTTCTGCTTGATACTTTTGCTACTTTTTCTTATCAATCTTGTTTCTCCCTTTAAATCTAGTGTTGCATCTCACAGTTAATATAACCACCTGGTGTGATATTGATCCAATATGTACCCGTACCATATGTCTTGATTTGTTTTGCTGTACCCTGTTTCCTCATGGTTTAACTCGTTGAGTGTACAACATGGTTGAGCATATTTCATTTATCACTCTATGGACACTATTTATTATTATTTCCAAACATAATTTACTAGACGTTCAGTACACAATGTATCAACCTCTAATTACACAATTCATCATTGTATCGTAACACAATTTATAATTTTGTCACTATTTAACTTATTAATCCGTTATCACAAATCTGTCAATCCCTTATAAAACATGTCACTCTGTAATTAAAGAATTTAACACCCTCTCAGTGCACAATTTATCACTGTGTAACTATACATTCTTCTGCTGCTACTATATATCCTCCAGTCGAGCGTAGGCCCTCAACCAACTTACTTACTTGTAGTATTCTTTGCTATTGCATGCAGCTTCTCCAAGCCCTCCACATTTTCTTTTTAACTTCGCTGTCTGTGCCAGTAGTCTTCAAACTTGATTTCATTTGCTGCCCCCTTGAGTATATGATAAGACCTCCCTGCCCCGCAACCTTTCCAACATACCAATATCTGATGTACAAACTGCTAAATTACAACACAAATGCTTTTGTCGTCTTGTATAATAGATAGTTTTAAAACATAATGTATTTAAAATTAAATAAAATAGAGTGTAAGTATAACAGCTTATTGCGAACACAAATCAGGTCTTGGTCAGATGTGACTGAGTTACTGGATAACAGTGGCCCGTACCACCTGTCTTCTTACGCCGAATGTTGGGCGGCGTATACCAAACCTAACATCCCATATTGTGCCAACGGCTTCGGGCGGAGGAGCGCATTGGGGAGGATACTAGCTTTATCCTAGGAAGAGGAAATGCAACATGAAAACAGGTCGAGGGAGGTATCATAATGCATGGGCACCATATGGTCTCTACAATTCTGCTCAGGCTTTAAGCTTTGAGCAAGTACAAATGCACTCATTTTCAAAATTACTTGAGGTCTTCCCCGCCCCGCCATCTTCTTTCCTCACCCCCTTCTTTCCTCACACCTTCACTTTTTGGAACTTCACCACGTTCTAGTTTCACAGAAACTAAAATACCATTCTCTGGTTGGAGAGCACTGGTCTATGAACCCGTTGTGGATCATTCCTGTGTTCATGCGGAGGCAAAAACAGATCATTCTGAATTTAGAATACTTTTCCAGGCTTAGATTATCTAGTTCCACAGAAACTAAAATACTAATTATCTGATGTTTTATGTCTTATACTGTCTCTACTACTCTTTCCAATCGTACAAAGCCCTTTGGGAGCGAGTGAACAGTGCGGAGGCAAAAATAGATCATTACGGTCTAGGAAGAATTGCGCTGTGGTGAGTTAACAGTGGATCTGCCAGACGCTCAACACTCGAGAGAAATGTGAGACGGATAAACAATCAGACAGTTACGGGTGCCATCGGAATTGAAACTCTTAGCTTCGCTGCTGAAGATGGAGACGTAGCTCTTATGCGAGTCGGCTGAGTGCTGTGATGTTAATTCCTTATTCAACATCCATCAAAGTTCTCAAATTCCAAGTGACATGTCCGGAGACTTCCCTAGGTGGATAAATGGTGCTTCAGCGATCAGGACTAATTTTTTTTCCTTCCAGTAGCTCCACAGCACAACACCCGCAGTTGTGCGCTCCGGGAGCAGGAACAGGGCTCCGGCTTCTACAGGAAGCGCCTACCGGGTGGTGCGACACTCAACCGCCTCTACACTGAGGAATCAGCCACCGTTCGGGAATGAAGAGTCAAACTTCTATCATAAGAGCCGCTTCTACTCTCTTTCCATATTGTTTGCTGGGTATTAATTGTTTGCGGATGAGAAGGTCGTAGGTTCGGGTCCTAACGCAGCCGGACTTTCTTTTGAATATGACCTTGGCTCCCAGATAGATCCTGCCTTGAGTGGGTACCAGACATAGTCATTGGAAGTAAAGGCGGACTGGCGTGATGCTGACCACATAACCCACCGAATGTTCATTGGTCTATAAAATATGTCTAGCCCTCTGTGCCTTGAGTGGGTACCAGAAACAGTCCTGGGAAGTAAAGGTGCTCAGCGTGACGCTAACCACATCATCTACCGAAGGCTGATTGGTCTATAAAATGTAAGTCTAGCCCTCTATGCCAAATAGGCCTCAAGCTGTGGAAGATGGTCCTTTATTTTACTTACTGAATACTCGTTACTGTTTTAGACTTGTCCGTGGTTGGTTAGTTTATGTGGCGATTTTTTGTTTTTTGTTTTTCACGGGATGAGGTGGCCAAAACCAAGCTTAACCCTACCCTTAGTCGTTGGACTCAGTACAAACAAAGGAATGTAATTATACAGCTTATTAATCAGTTATCAAACAGTGTAACAGCAAAGGACCCTTTTCCAAGCTTTCAAACTTACTGGGCATATAGGGCTAGCCCAATATTGTAACCCCAATCGGCACTTGGTGGGTGAAATGGTCAACATCACGCCGGCCTCCTTTACTTCATATGATTATATCTGGTACCCACTCAAGGCTGGGTCTAACTGGAAGCCAAGGTCATTTAACCTTCCGGTCTACATGCGAGCGGCTAGCCGCTACATAACGCTCCCCTGCCCCCCTCCCCCCCCCCTCCCCCAACTAAACCATGTACTACTCTGAAATTGCGCAGTTGACTATTGTCTTTATACTGTCAGAGAAAAGCCCTGTAGACTGTTTTTCTGTATTTTAATTTTCTATTATAATCACCAGGTTCAAAGTTCACTGACCTCTGACAACGCCGATGTGTTGAACTTCTTGAGGTTACGACCTCCTCCCACTGGCAGTAGCTCCAGCAGCACAACTCCCGCTGTTGTGCGCTCCGGGAGCAGGAACAGGGCTCCGGCTTCTACAGGAAAACATTTATCGGGTTGTGCGACACTCAACGGCGTCTTCACTGAGAAATCAGCCAAGCGTTCGGGAATGAAGAGTCAAACTAGATTTTGTTGTTTTGTTGTGCATATACGATTTCACTATGGTCATCTTTTTCTGCTTTTTCTACTTCCTCTTTTTCTGTCTACTTCTTCTTCCTCTTCTTTTGCTGTACAAGACAGCTGTCAGATGTACCCACACTAACGTTCCCATACTAGAATTGCAGCTCACTGTTTGCGTAAATGGTCCATCACAAAAGCCAGAATTTTTCCCGCAAAAGTGACAGCCTTTCTAAATATAATCGACCATCCACCATTTTAGTGGGGTCAACAATACGGAAGGCAAAATACATTCTGCATGAAATCCACAGCTCATATATCGCACTAAGCACTCATATGAGCAGCTATTCGACGGAACCTTTAGACTCCAGGTCCAGAAATGGGGAATGTGCATCAAGAGAACCTAGCTGGAAACAAATAACATTTTAGAACGTCAGCGATCAGTTGGCAATCGGCCAATATGGCTGGAAGTACAATAGTAATTTGAAAAGTTATAGGATACACATCTGTGTGTGCCTACAGAACAGACACATTTTTTCCCAATGTTTACTGTTTTAATGTTTTGTGAAGTTCTGCAAAAGGCTCTTAAAGGTGTAACATCTACAGTGTTCCGGCCAGTTTCATTTCCCTTCAATTAAACAGTCCATACTGTTGATAGTTATACAGTAAAGATCCCTTTTCACGCGCCTTTAGGCGCGTCAGTCATATGGGAAAAGCACACATATTTTTACAGACCAATTGGCACTAAGTGGGTAATATGGTCAGCATTACGCCTACCGTCTTTACTTCCCCAGGACATACATCCTGGAACCCATTTTAGGCTGGGTCGACCTGCGACGCCCCATACCATGATAAAAATCCATGCAGCCAGCAGTGGGTTCGGATCGCTATATGTTTGAATTACAAGTCAAACTCGCAACGCATAAGCCACGGACGCCGCTGTTGATAGTTATGACGACAATATATTCACAGTTTGTTCACAATGTCTTATTACCTAAGAAATAAAAGTAACTGTTCTTATTGAACTATGAAATATGTAGGGGTATACTTTAGAAAAATAATTGATCTGCAAGGTGAATTAGGTCCTTTTCATAAGCTTACAAAATTGTCGCCGTAGCTCAAGCCACCACCAGCAACCACCACCACCACCACCACCACCACCACCACCACCACCACCACCACCACCACCACCACCACCACCACCACCACCACCACCACCACACCCCTTTTCCCCCAAATGGTTGGGCGCCAAGAGACATTTGAGCTCCAAGTTCCGAAGCCTATGAACAACGCCCCATGAAGTGGACTATAAGGTCTTTGTAAAAGTATGTTTAAAGAAGTACTTTGGCAGAAAGTGGAAGAATGGACTTCAGTTTGAATAATGGAAAGACAGAAGTAATGGTGGTATCAAAGAAAAGAATTATTCCTAAATGTGAAATAAAAGTCAGTGGTATTATTTTGGGACAAGTACAGAAATTTAAGTATCTGGGCACATAGATAATATCAGACTGACATTACTGACATCAGAAACTGAATAGGTAACGCAAAAACTGTATTTTATAAAATAAGAACATCTTATGCAATATTTGTCTGTCCTTGAAGGTTAGAAAAAGTATTCTTGCTTGCTACATACATCCAGTTTTAACATATGGATGTGAGTCCTGAACAATCGGTAGGCAGGCCAAACAATTTCTTGAGGCCTCAGAGATGTGGTTTTACAGAGGAATGCTTGAAATACCTTTGACAGCCAAAAAGAGCTTCCAGGAGGTTTTGAAAGCCTGAAGGCAACTTATCAACGACATCAGAAAGAAACAGTCATTATTTTTCGCCATTTTATGAGAAGAGAGAAAACGAAACATGTTGTAACCTCTGGAAAGAACTGTGGAAGGAGGGATAGAGGAAGGCAACGAGAAAAGATTCTTGACAGTCTTGTTGCATGGCATGGAGGTGTGTCAGCACACGAACTGATACATGTTGCAAGAGATCGCGTATTTTAGAGTGGCATGATCGCCCACGCAAGTCGGCAAGGTTCTTGATGATGATGAAATAAGTACTTACTGAGATGTGAACACAGTTTAGTATCCAAGGTAGGTGACTGGATTCACAGACCAAATTGTGTCCTGAAGACTCGCTTCATCACCTCTTTAAAGAGGGACAATGTGATCCATTCAGACTAAAGACAGGGTACAACAGACTTCGCCTACATAGGTTCAAATTTGTAGATGTAGGAAACAGGGAGATATGTTGCTAAAATTTTGTACCAGAAACTGCTGAGCATGTATGTACTCCAAAACTGTCGACTGGATGCTGCCGACAGGTGCTATCTGGCTTGTTTAAAGCTAGTGTGGACAACGCGGCATGTTCCATGGTGAGATATAGGCTGCCCATAGCTTTCATAAAGCCTACATTCCTTCCGGTATAAGTTTTTTGACAGGAGTATTGAGGAAGAAGAAGAAGAAGAAGAAGAAGAAGAAGAAGAAGAAGAAGAAGAAGAAGAAGAAGAAGAAGAAGAAGAAGAAGAAGAAGAAGAAGAAGAAGAAGAAGAAGAAGAAGAAGAAGAAGAAGAAGAAGAAGAAGAAAAGAAGAAGAAGAAAAAGAAGAAGAAGAAGAAGAAGAAAGAAGAAGAAGAAGAAGAAGAAGAAGAAGAAGAAGAAGAAGAAGAAGAAGAAGAAGAAGAAGAAGAAGAAGAAGAAGAAAGAAGAAGAAGAAGAAGAAGAAGAAGAAGAAGAAGAAGAAGAAGAAGAAGAAGAAGAAGAAGAAGAAGAAGAAGAAGAAAAGGAAGAAGAAAAGAAGATAAATTAGAAAAAGAAAAAGAACAAGGAAATGATAAAGAAGAAAAAGATAAAGAAGAAAAAGAACAAGACGGAGAATACCATGAACCGCTATGATTTACAATGTTCTACCATTTTCTACCATTATACCCCATGTTCTACTATGATCCACTATGATCCACCATGTTCTACCATAATCTATCATAATCCGTCATGATCCACCATAATATACCATGATCTACTATGATCTGCATAATCTACTAAGATTTACCGTTATCCAACATGTTCTGCCATGATCCACCATGATCTACTATGATCCACCATGTTCTGTCATTATTCACCACGATCCACAATAATCTACGATGATCTACCATGATTCACCATGATTCATTATGATCCACCATAATCTATTATGATCCACTATGATCTACCATGATCCACCATAATCTAATATGATCCACTATAATCTACCATGATCCACCATGATCCACCATGATCCACCATAGTCCACCATAATCCACCATGATCCACCATGATCCACCATGATCCGCCATGATCCACCATGATCCACCATGATCCACCATGATCCACCATGATCCACCATAGTCCACCATAGTCCACCATGATCCACCATGATCCACCATGATCCGCCATGATCCACCATAATCCACCATGATCCACCATGATCCTCCATGATCCACCATAGTCCACCATGATCCACCATGATCCACCATGATCCACCATGTTCCACCATAGTCCACCATAGTCCACCATAATCCACCATGATCCACCATAGTCCACCATGATCCACCATGATCCACCATAATCCACCATGATCCACCATGATCCACCATGATCCACCATGATCCACCATGATCCACCATGTTCCACCATAGTCCACCATAGTCCACCATAATCCACCATGATCCACCATAGTCCACCATAATCCACCAAAATCCACCATGATCCACCATGATCCACCATAATCCACCATAATCCACCATGATCCACCATAATCCACCATAATCCACCATAATCCACTATGATCCACAATGATCCGCCATGATCGATGCAGTACTCGTCCTCACCCCCCACAATAGGTGGTTAGAAGTATAACTCCAAGAGGTTCCTAATTTAAATATGTCACACAGTTTAAAGAGTTTTCTTGGATTGTATCCTCTTTGATTCTCATCCATGAAGTGGTAATCCGACGGACAACAATCCTTGCCGGAGTCTCCATTCGTTCGGTTTACGAAGCAATTTTTAAGAACACCCCCAGGGATCGTTGTCGTAGCTACGGGTTTCGTTCTTTGTGCGACGTTCTTTGCATCCATTTAGCCAGTTTGCAGAGAAAGATAGAGCCATATGGGATTAAACCAGATGCAGTGAAGTCGATCCACTTAACTTTTACCTGTAATAGAAATTTGGAAGCTGCGGAGATGTGGATTTATAGACAGATGACGAGAATACCCTGGACAGATAAAAAGAATAGTAAGGATGTCTTGAAAAAAAAACTGACTCTTAAAGAGAACTTCAACCCACATCAGAGACAGTCTACATTCTTCAGTCATGTGAAGAGAAGGAGAAAACTGAAGTACGTAGTGACATTAGGAAAGTTAGAGGAAGGAGAGGCAGAGGAAGACCGAGAGAAAGGACATTTTGACATCATGGCATAGAGGATCATCTGTGTCAGAATTGATTGAAAGTACACGAGACAGCAGGTTGTGGATAGACGTGACTACCATCATCACACGGCGTGAACTTTGAGGAGAAGAAAAAAATTCACTGGAGCGGAACAATGACCACCAATTTTTTTTTTTTAAATAAGGTATACAACTCTTACATAAAATACATTCTCTTTTTACAAATTTCGTTACTTCCCTTTCTTTTTTTAAACTAGTACGTACTCAGTACTAAACAGATGTTAACCCCTTTGAGGCAGCAGAAACCCTATACATTACAAACAAATAGACATGGATTGATCGGCGTTCATATAAAAAAAAAGTAAAAACATAGAAAAACCATATCAGACAACATGAAAATCGGAGTCTATAGTTTACCATGCCAGAAATCAAACCTGTCAACTCCAGGTACAAGTAGACATATATTGTCCCATATGACAACATATGAATCGCAGTATTACTAGCTACCTCTCATCCGTATTAGGATGACATTTTTCCTTATTTGAAGCCCTACTCTGGCTCTTGCCAGGGGCTGCAATACAGCCAAGCCATAAATATGGCCTAAAGGCTGAACGCGGTTTCTGGGACCTCTCCACGGTGATCCTCACCCACATGGTGGCACATTGTGTCATCGGGTGTTTGGTGTCGCTTGTGTGATGTCCTGGTGGGGTAGAAAGTCAGTCAGTCAGTCGTATGAATCATAACTCGTGGAGATAGAGAGGTTAGCTAGCAAAGACTCGATTTATTTTCAGAAATGTCTTCCGTAATTCCATATTTGGTAAATACAGACAGTAATGACAGTTTGACGGAAGCAAAGACGATAATTGTCAAAATACGCAACAAACAATAGTAACTACTGAACACACAAAAATGCACTCCGGGTATCGACAGTTACCATAACCTTTTATTAAGTTTGTGTTTTGTTTTTGTAGGGTACATTTTTGGGTTCGATTTTTACTCTTCATATAATCTCAATTTTTAAAAATAATAATAACAACTGTAAATTGTTGCGTTTAGAAAAAGAAATGCCATTTTTAGTGTAAAAGTGCACACGGGGGTAATAGTTGGATTATTAATTGATTGTTCTATCTATCTTCTTTAATCCCACCAAGACATCACACAAGCAATAAACACCCGATGACACAAAGTGCTACCATGTGGATGAGGATCACCTGTGGAGAGGTCCCAGAAAACGCGTTCAGCCATTAGACAAAATCAATGATCGGGCTATATTGCGGCTCCTGGCATGAGCGTGAGTAGGGCATCAAACAACAAACAATTGCATCCCACAAAGGGATGACTTGATTCAATAATTTTTTTATTTTTTTTCGGGAGCCGCGATAGCATCGTATGGTTGGTTTTTTTTTTTTTTTCTCAAAAATTTACCATACCTGCACGGTGGACCTAATCTAAAACGGACACCAGACAACGTCCTGGAAAATAAAGGCGGTCGCTGTATTATTTACTGCTTCACCCACCGAATGTCATCTGGTCTATAAAATTTGATTCAAGAATCAAAAACCTTTAAGCCACAAGAAAAAAAAATATTATTTGAAGTTTTGTTTAAGAAATTAACTCACGTAAACAACCCCTGATGCATTATGTTGCATACTACAGATAAAAGAAGTTCCGCGTTCGAAACCCACTGCGGGCTGCGTGGATTTATATCATGGTATGGGGCGTTGCAGGTCGACCCAGCCTAAAATGGGTACCAGGATGGCTGTCCTGGGGAAGTAGAGACTGCCGGCGTAATGCTGACCACATTACCCACATAGTGCCGATTGGTCTGTAAAAATGTGGGTACTCTTTCTATATGCCCGATGCGCATGAAGGCGTGAAAGGGGTCTTTACTTACTTACACTCTAACGTAGAAGAAGAAGGAGGATTGAAGAAAACGATTGTTAAGACGTTGCAAACTATAGTTGTCCTGTCAGGATATTCTCCTGTCACCAAAGCTGGACCCGTATGGATAGGGTTCGTTCCTATGGTTGGGTCCAGTCAGGTCCAAAGTCGAGCATAGCATTTTAGGAATCGTACTATCGGAGAATTTGAACTGCCTTTTGTCGTGAAATTTGAGTAGCACAGCGCTGTGTGGGTGAGACGTCCTGATGTGGAGAAAGTGTTTGGCTGGTTCCTCTGTGGTATGTCCACAGTCCTCGCACACGTACAGCTTTCGACGCCTCTGCTTGGGGGCGTACTGAATGTTCTGGCCGTGGACTTTTCTGGCGTGAGACTCTAGTGAACATCTCTGGGTGAATGCTTTCCCACAGTCGAGGCACTTGTAGGGCCTGACACCTGCGAGAGGATACAAGAGGTCAGTTAGAATGGGGGAAATCTCACTGTCATAAATGTTACTGTGTTTCTTAACTGTCTTCGTCTTGTGCGTTCGCACTTAACTCTTTAAGTCAAACGAATGGATGAATGCATGAATGAAACAGAATTGACATCCCTGCATTCGGGATACTCCCCATGAGCTTCTTCTCCTTTCTCACTAGCCATCAGAGAGTTGATGTTAAAAGTACCAGTTGCAACCCGACTAACTTCCGCTTTTGTTTTGCACTTATTGTTGATTATCAATAAGCAAGATTGTAACAATTACAGAGGCATCTCCCTTCTAAGCCACGTAGGAAAAATGTTTGCCGAAATTCTGGAACAACGAATTAGATCCGTTGTCCTAGAAACCGATCCTGAGCCCATCACAGGTCGGTTCTTTAGGAAAGGAAGAGGGTGTACTGACATTCTATTTTTGCTTTAAGACAAGTTAGCCCCCCCACACAGACATATACAACACACAGACATCCAAATGAACATCGTTTTTTATAGATCAAGAAAATGCTTATTCGATAGAGTAAACATAAATTTATTATGGAAAGTTCTTGAAAACTACTTGAGTAGGAAATGGAAACAATTTTAGATTGTGTTAGGACTATTTATAGACAAAGTGAAAGCGCCATTAGAACAAGAGCTGGCAATCACAGACTGGTTCCCAACAACATCAGGAGTAAGACAAGGTTGTTTATTATCACCTTTACTTTTCATAAATATTATGGACAATATTAATAAAATAGACACAAACACCAACAGATGTCG